CCCGTTTTTGGCGGGCCATTGGCGGGGCGGGCCAAAACGGGGCAGGCTGGCCCGTTTTGCCACCCCTATACATATATTATTAATGACATGAGAAACTAAAATAAAATTTTTAAAAATTACAAAGATTAAAAATAATAATTTTAAATTTATAAAATTAAAATAAATTTATCTTAAATTTAAAGAATTATAAACATATTTAAACTTAATTTAGATCAACGTATAATTCATTTTGTCCCCTATTTCCAGATTTGTGCTCTGTTCCATGATTTCCATGTTGGCCTTCTTCTCCACCTTTTCTTCCATTTTCAGCCTTGCATTCAACTCTCTCTCCACAAATTCCAACTTTGCCTTCATGTGCCTGTCTCCTACTAAGGAATGGCAAGGGGGAAAATAGTAACTTCTCATTATCCAAAATTGTTTACTGAGTATTTATTTAGTGGTTATTTATAAATTTTTATATGTTTGCGAATATTTTGTAAATATTGGTAGATATTTGAGAAAATGTAAAATTTTAGATAAAAAAGTGAGAAATAAATAAAATTAAAATTAAGTAATTTTAAAACATATATTTATATTAAATAATAATTTTGTAAGTGTCCATTTTGTAGATATTTATAGGACTTTCTAGAATTTATTTGAATTATTTAAGTATGTTAATGATTAAGTTTCCAATTTATTTAATAATATGGTGATGAGACATCCACTTTCTAGAATTTTGTAGAGTTATTTAGTTATCTTGATGATTAAGTTTTCAATTCATTTTAATCACATGGTGATTAGGTGTTCTTTTTTTTTTTTTTTTTTTGTAGAATTTTGTAGATCATCATAGAATTTTTTAGAATTATATAAATATCTTGATGGTTAAACATCTAATCCATTCTAGATTTCTATTTTGTAGAATTTTATAAAACTTTTCTAGAATTGTTTGAATATCTTAATAGTTAAACTTTCAACCCATTTAATCATTTGGTAATAGGTATCTACTTTGGAGAGTTTTGTAGAACTTTTTAGAACATTGTAGAATTATTAAATTATCTTACAAATTAATTATAATTTTGAGAAACTAATATCATCATTAAAAACTTCACCATTAAAAATATAAAATTTTGTCTCTTGATCATCTCTTAATTATGCTAATTAATATTAATTAGATAAATTAGAATTTGCTTATGTGTCATAATTTGATTGGTTGAGACTTGTATTTTAATTTCACCTAACCATACATTTTTATTAATTATTCTATGCATACTATATTGATGATAAAATTATTTATATCCTTTTGAACATTTTTCCATAATTTTCTAGCTTAAGATTTTAGTAGAATAATTTTCTCAAGTTAAATTCTTAGAGAATTTCTATAAATTTTAATTTATAGATTTTCTCTCTTAACTGTATTTATTCTTAATCTATACTCAATACATTATTATTTAAGTTACAGATTACTTTAATTTTCTTAAATTGAGTTTTTCATATTTTACAATGTGCTTTTAACGTTGTCTGAGAAACAATCAAATTAGACAATAAAATAATGTTATTAAATTTATAAAATCTTGTTAGATAATGCTACATAAATTTCATTCACAGTAACTAATGTAATATTTAATCTATATAATAATATACAAAAATTATATAGATAAATAGTTACAAAATTTAGGATATTACACAACCATTATAACACCAACCAAAACCAGGCCAACTAGACCAAATCCAAGGTCTAGAACCAAAATATCAATCAGTATAACTTGAAAACCACGTACTCCATCAAAATTGGAACAGAAACCACAACAAGAGAG